AGAATCTAAGTTTTTTTTAAAAAATAGAAAAATGGCATCAAATTTATTGAAGCTCCAGAATCACAAAGTGCTTTTTTCAATGTATACTCCTCCCAGAGTACATGGAATGGTAAAACTACCTGGGTCACCGATTTTTTGTGGTAGCTTATTTTGAAGTATAGCACTGCATTTTTCAGTAAGCATTACCACAGAAACTTCTTCCAATTTCCTTTTGCTTGATAAAATTTCTTTTAGAAATTTGGCATATGAAGGCATTTGCAATAAAGCATCAGTAAAAGGAATGTTAATGTGAATTTGTTTTAAAATCTCCAAAAACTTTGCAAATTGATTATCAAGCTTTTCTCTTTTCATCTTTTGTGGGAAAGGAATTGTAACAGGGAAAGAAGTCACATTTTTATTATTTTTTTCTTCTTTTTTCTTGGCTTCTTTCTCTTCTGATGGTTGAGAGGGTATCTCAACATTTTCGCCCTTGTCTACCTGTTGTTCTGATTTATTCTTTTCTTGTCTGTTTGCATAGGGTTCATCAAGAGTCGTACCTGACCGTAAGGCAATTGCCTCAAGGTGTTCTTTTGGATTTTTCTCTGTATTGCTCGGTAAAGGACCTTGAATCTTTTCAGACACAAGAGTTGCCAATTGGCTTAACTGAATTTCAAGATTTTTTAGAGCTGAATTTTGGCTTTCCATTTTTTCATCAGTAACCTTAATGTACTTGTACAAAAGGTCATCAAGACTTGGATGGCCTTGTTGAGGCCTTTGCTGATATGGAGTTGCTTGCTGATAAGGCCTGAAATTTTGTTGTCCACGATTTTGATTTTGATATCCGGGTGGACTCTGTACCTGTTGCTTTTGGTAGTTTTGAGAGTTTTCAGCACCATTTGCATTGCTCCATTGAAATCCTGAATGTTTTTGTGCTAATGGACTTCCAAAAGGATACGGCTTGTATACGATAACATTGACCTGTTCATCATTATTGGTTGCTTGACATTCGTGGTTTAGATGGTTTCCTCCACACAAGTCACAAGCCTCATACTGGCTTGGTTGTTGTGTATTTACCTGAAAAGATTCAAATTTTTGTGCGAAAGAAACAATCTGTTGTGTTAGTGCATTTAAAGCATCCACCTGATTTACTGTAGCAGCTTTCTTAATGATTACACGCTCAGATGGCCACTGTATGGCATTTTCAGAAATTTCATTAAGCAATTACAATGCTTCTTCTGTGGTTTTTCCCATTATGGAACCTCCTGCAGCTGCATCTATTACATTTCTAGAAGATGGTTTCAAACCATGATAAAAAAATGTACAACTGCATATGTTCAGGAATGTCATGATGTGGACATTTCCTTAACATTGTTTTCAATCTTTCCCAAGCTTGATAAACTGACTCAGCGTCAGTCTGCAAGAAGTTAGATATATCCTGTCTTAACTTTGTTGTTTTAGCAGGGAAAAAATATTTATTTAAAAATTTCTGAGTCATTTGGTCCCATGTGGTAATAGACCCTTGCGGCAAATTTCGTAACCAAGTTTTGGCCTATCCTTTTAAAGAAAAAGAAAATAGCATTAACTTAATTGCTTCAGGAGGTACTCCGTTATACTTTGCAGTTTCAACCAATTCTAAAAAGTCAATTAAAATGGATCTTCACTTAGATCACCGATGAAAATGCAAGATTGTTGAATTGTTTGAATCAGGCCTGTCCTGATTTCAAAGTTATTGGCTGCTACTGGAGGTTTCCTGACACTAGATTCACAGTTAAAGTGATCAGGTCTAGCATAATCCCTTAGGATTCTGTTTGCTGGTCTTGGCGCCACTTCATCAAACTGCTCCTCTACATGAGCTGGTGGTGGAATTTGTAGTGGATTGTTATCATCTTCTAATTGGTGCTCCATTCTGTTACAAGTTATGTTTTGAGACGATATTTGTCCTTTCCTGCACAATCGCAAAGTTTTTTCAATTTCAGGATCGTAATTGGCCAACTCTTTTGCAGAAGAGCGGGTCATAAACTATCTGAAATTAAAGTAAAATAAAGACAGTTCCTAAAATAGTAATAGATAGTTTTAAAAATAAATTAAAAAAAAAATTAGTACGGTAATATTATAGTTAACTAAAACAGTAAGTTGTAATTAACCATCAAAAGAAATAATATAATGCTAGTTATATTATATGGAAAAAAATCAATAATAAATCAAGTATGTTGAAAGATTAAAGTACTATCAATTAAAAAAAGTTGAATAAAATATTATCTTATAAAAATATAGTAAAAGTAATAGTTATAATAGTAATATAGAATAGTACAAAGGATACTTTTAGAACTAGAATAGTAAAAACAAGTACTTACAATTATAATAATAATAAAAATAATAAAATATACTTAAAAAATGACAAATAAAAAAATGAGATTGTAAATCACAAAACTAATATATTATACTATCATATAGATGTTAGTACTAACAATAATAATATAATAATAAAATATAAAATAAAGTGGGTTGAAGTACTAGCTATGAGGGATTTTTTTTTCTCTTTTTTTTTATATGCTCTTTTTTTTTCAATATTATATAGAATTGCTCCTAATAATAGTACAATTATGATAGTAGTATGTAGGAGATAACATTTTGAAGGAAAAATTAACAATAATAATAAATTCTCAAATTAGTAATAAAATATTTAATCTGAAGTAGATGTGTGCCAATCCCCGGCAACGGCGCCAAAAATTTGACGAAGCTTATGTGTATAGGATTTTCTGCTCGTACTCTATCAAATTCTAGTATAGTTTATGATATCGTCCCACAGATATTGGACAATCTAAGCTATAGACTTGTAATATTTTGACTACTATTTGGGAGAACCAAATTGATGAGAGGTGTGTTTGAAATTATAAATTAAGACAAATTTCTTCTGAAAAGTTTATATTTAAAAAGAGTTGGGAATCGTTGAATTCACTTGATATATCATTACAATAAAATCTCAGGTTCATACGTATTTCTCTAAAGAATAATTGCTTATTGCTAATACAATTATATTTTTACACTAAGAAATAAATAAATAATTAACACTCCGCGAGGTTATGTCAATCATTTGATTTAAAACTAGTGACGATTAAACTGAAATATCTTGCCTGAATTGTGCTCAAGCGTAGTAAAAACTTCGTGAGAATATTTTTACTAGAAAATCAATAATCTTGCCTTCAACAATTTCTCCGTGAGAATTAAAAACTGAGGAAAGCAAGATTATAGACTTGAAATAATAATCTTATTAAAAATTACTTTCACTCTAATATTCTATTCATCAGTTATTATATATTAATTTTGCTCCGTGAGAATTACAAAATTAATATAAGAATAACTTAGATATAAAATATGTAGATGTGATAATAATGATTAAAAAATCATCATTCCATCACAATATGAAATGTATATAGAGTTTCAGGCCATGTATTGAAACTGAGATAGTATTATAATTATATCAAGATTCATCAACTATCCCAACAAAAAGAAATTACTCCATTATGAAGTAAGAAAAGCTAAAAAATACTTTCAAAAGACTAAGAATATTTTTACTACAAAGAGAAATATTAGAGGAAGAGACCAAGATTACTCTTCTCTTTCTCTTTAGAAACTTAGAAAAAACTAGATAGAAAATTGGATACAAAGAGGGATGCTTTTTCATCTACAAACATATGGCTATTTATAGGAAAATTCCTACAAGGCCTTGGTGAGAAATTGCAATATAATATTAATATATCATATGGCCTTGATGAGAAATTGATATGGCAATTTGTCTTGATATTTTGGTGAGAATTTGCCATAACTTTGTATCTCTTGACTTTGTCTAGTCTTAGATGAAATTGTCACGGATGCATCCTTCTTCCTTGAACTGTAGATTCTTTCTTTTTCTCTTTTTTCATGTATTCTTTTTCCTGCGCGAATTGTTAGAAAAGCGCGAGAATAGGATATAAATTGGTCATGTTTTATATCTAAAATATTATATTTTTACATTAAAATATATGAATAATTTATATCCATCAATCATGGAGCTATCACCTTGATCATCATCTTCTTCAGATTCGCTGGAAGAGACTCCCCATGCAGCAAGAGCTTGTTTCACAACATTGTCAGCGACATCTTTTCTCTTGAATCATTTGTTAGGAACCGAGTTTCTCTTAGCTGTTCTGTCAGTGTTGTATTTGTACTGATCTTGCTTGAGGAGAGGGCAATCCTTGATGAAGTGTCATGGCTTACCGCACTTATTACATAGGTCATAACCTTTTTGCTTGCTGGAGCTGCCCCTTTTTGGAATGCCTCCATTTCTGCAAACCATTTTCTGAAACCTTTTTGTCAGGTAGGCCATATCAGCATCCTCACCACCTGAGTCATTGCTGTCCATCTTGAGGGCCAGGTTCTTCTCCCTTGTGGGATCTCTTCTCTCGTGATCCTCCTCCTCCTCCTCCTCCTCCTCCTTCTTCTTCTTCTTCTTCTTCTTCTTCTTCTTCATTTCATAAGTCTTCAGATTGCCGACAAGTTCATCAATGGTCAGCTCCTGCAGATCCTTTGCCTCTGTGATAGCGTTTACTTTGCTTTCCCAGGAACTAGGTAATACAGTAAGTATCTTCCTGACGAGTTTGTTCCTGGGAATGATCTCTCCTAGAGAGTGAAGCTCATTGATGACAGATGTGAAGCGAGTGTGCATATCCTGAATGAACTCATCGTCCTTTATCATGAAAAGCTCATACTCTGTGGTTAGCATGTCAATCTTGGACTGCTTTACCTGTGTTGTCCCTTCATGAGCTATTTGGAGAGCTTCCCAGATCTCCTTAGCAGATTGACATGCTGAAATTCTGTTGTACTCATCTGGTCCAATACCACAGACGAGGATTTTCTTAGCTCGAAAGTTCTTTTCAATAGCCTTACAGTCAGCATCATTATATTCCTTTCTAGTTTTAGGAACTGTCACTGCGGGGTCTCCAATGGTCTTCTTAGGAACGAAGGGTCCATCGCAGATGATATCCCAGAGCTCTGAGTCTTCAGCCATGATGAAGTCATGCATCCTTGTCTTCCACCATCCATAGTATTTGCCGTTGAATCTTGGTGGTCTGTAGGTAGACTGACCTACTTCAAAGTTTGGCGGAGGAACCATGAGGATCCTTTCTAGGTGTTAGCTTGATAGAAATAACCTGCTCTGATACCAATTGATAGAAACTAACGGTCCACCAAGCTATATAGAGAACCGGGGTTCTCTATTAGTTCCCACAGAACACACGCACACTGCAGTAAGTAAATGACACAATAGAGTTTTACGTGGAAAACTTCCAGCTCACGGGATCAAAAACCACGACCTACCCTTGTAGGATTTCAACTTCACTACTGAGCAAACTTTAGATTACAACTTATTGTAACCTAAGAATTAACCTCTTAATACTTCACTAACTTGTAACAACTCTATTACAAGCCACTTTGTAATAACTCAATTACAAAAACTTACAACTCGACTAACTCTAGCGAAGACACAAATACAAGGGTTTATGATTTACAAAGATTCCCTACGCAATGCTTCTAACTAAGCTAAGTAGGAATTACAAGTAGAGTGCTTTAACAAAGGTGGAATATAATACAGAGAACTGGTCCGTTGTTATGTTGTTCTTTGTTCTTGATGCCCTTGAGAGTTACTTGCAAGATTGATAGATGACTTGAGAGAATACTTGATTAATTCTTCAATGTTCAAGTATTTTGTTTTACCTTTGCTTGATGTTAATAATTTATTTGTGAAATCACTTGAATGATGCAAGCAAGTTAGGTAAAGGGCATTCCCCATAAAGTTGACTGTTGCACTATTTTTGCACTGTTGCGTGTGCAGGCAGCAACTTTACAGCTGGGAGGGTTGATTTGTACAGTCACCACGGGAACTGGTAGCTAGCTATCTGTTCTTTCTGATGTTCCTTTGACTCTGAAGAGTTGAACCGTGTCCCCGACTGGAGACTTGTTGATCTTAAGTTCTTGAGGATGTATAACAGGTTCCTTATCTGGTTCTTAATAGTAAATTTGTTAGATCATCAAAACATAACAGGTATACACATATAACCTATCAACAACATATATAGATACTATATATTAGTTGATTTTTGCCTTCTTTTTTTTAACTCCTCAAGTTTGGTGATGAAGCTTGCCCCTCGAGTTGGAAACTCTCTGATGTCAACAACATAGATATATTAATTGCTATTAAGGGACGTGACCCTTTCATTATTCAAAATAATTGAGTTCT